TTGGTGAGATGTACATTCTCTTTCAGATACCCAAACAACTTGGGCTGAAGGAGGTAAGGATGAGCCTCGATCTGGTTGACTGCGGGAGGAAGCTCTGCCGTCTTAAGTAGTTCCTCCATCTTCTCAATGGTGAAATTGCTGACTCCGATGCTTCGAATCTTGCCAGCCTTGACTAGCTTCTCCATCGCTGCCCAAGTATCGCCGATGGGAATGTCCACTAAACGGAATCTTTTTGTGACCGGGTCGAGAGGCTGAAAAGTGTCGTTCGTATGTGCGAACGATATGGGCCAGTGGATCTTTTCACCTATCAGCAGATATCCGTCAAGATTGTAACTGACATACCAGGTACAAGTCCAGATAATCCGTCTGTAAATCCTTGAGTGTCCTGTTGAGCGCTTCTTCGACATGGCTCGGATGATGGTGTGTATTCCACAGCTTGCTCGTTAACTGCAGAGTGATGTGAGATAATTTATCAGATGCAATTGAGTCTACTGTGATCGGAACCAACAAATATCTCCTTTCGGGGAACACCCGACTTCTTCCATCCCCGTCCTACTTCAGCTTCATTCAAGTAGACAGCAGCACCGTCGATATGCCGGTATCCCACGCGAAGAGCTGTCGCGACGGCATCTTCTACCTCATGAGGCGCAGATCGCTGTCAGGTCATTAGCAGCAAATTTATGTAGCTCGAACACAGAACATTACTAACCCAGGTTCCTAGACCGACAGCAGGGATCTCATACCCAGAATTGAGCTTGAATTTACGCCCTAGAGACATGATGGGTTCGTTCTTGAGTTCAAGAATGATTGGGTATGCAAGCAGCCATCCAGAGATGAGATGATTATAAAAGGATCGGGTTTCAAATTACTGAGGGGATGCGACAGGCTGCTGACGGTTTTACCCCTCATGCAATGTAGATCTCACTCAGCGATCAGACTATGTGGATTCTATACAAGGACATCGTCTGTCAACAAATCTCTGAGGAATGGGTCTTAACAAAAGAGCTTTCACTTTGTCATCTAATGTGGCTGCTTATTTGGGCTATGATAACACCCTGAAAGGAAGCATCTTCCTCACTTCCGCAATTGACAACCATCCGCCAAGATAATGCAAACGTCTGGCTTTGGGCTTGTTTCGGTCTTTCTCTCTCTTTTGATTGCTAAGACGGAACCACCTAGTTATATGAGTGTTTATTCTCCATGAGACCCATGGATACACCAACAGGTACACCTTACTTCCAATGACCGCTGATTGCAGATGGTCCTTCGTGAAAGAATTGTTTGCTGAGCCCACTTAGGTTTCCGTTCGCTTTGTTCTGATCGCCTGTGCCATGAGATTGGTCATTATCGTGTTATGGTCCGTGTGGCTAAGAGAGCGGCTCAGAGACCGTCAATCAGGGATATATAGAGCCGGGATGTCAGGCAGATGGTCTATCCAGCAATCGCTGTGTGAAAAATAGAGTACACAGGACATCAACTGTCTCTACTCTGCCTCTACTCTGCCCCAAAGCTCATCCACACCCTCTTGTACTTCCCACCTAAGGTTGGTTTTTGCCTTGAGCTGGAAGATGTCTAAAGAGGAAGGAAAGACGACTCGTCTCGAGTGAGTATCTCGCGCTTGTTGGCAAGATTAATTGTTAATAGCCAGATAGATTTTTGACTTCCGATACGGTTGCCTTAAAATCACCAGGATCAACATGCACGTTCAAGATTCACAAAGATCTCCTGGAGTCCAAGTGTAAAATTCTTCATGCAGCATTCACCAGCGGGTTCGCGGAGGGCCAGGATGGAGTGTATACCTGCTCAGACACGACTGACGGGACTCTTGCGCGCTTTATTGAGTGGGCATATCTAGGCGACTATCAGGCATCAGTGATCAGCAAGGATCTGGTGCAGACGACGCTCAAAGCCTCCGATGATGCTGACGAGGACAATGCATCATCAGCAGCCGCCAATGTGAGCGAAAGCACGGATGTGGAGCTTGATAACCATCCACTGCTGGCTCATCTCCGGCTTTATATTTTCAGCGACGCATACCTCATTGCTGAACTAAAGCAGTTGGCCTATGAAAAGCTCACTGCATGCTTTGTGGATATCAACAGACCCCAAACTCTCGATCAACAACGTGCGATTATCGCTTCCTTGCGAGTCGCATTCCTCAAGATCCCGCTGAACGACAGTCTCTTGGACTGGCTGGCCCATTATGCGGCATACAGCGTCAATCAACTTCGACTTCAGCCCTCTTTTCACGATCTTCTTGAAGCCGCTCCTGCCCTGTGCTCGCGCATGATGAATACTTTATGCCCGGCTTCAACTGCTCCTTGGCAATGTCAGACTCCGAAACATAGATTTCCCCCCTACAAGCCGGGAAGCTATGAGGAACAATGTGAGTGGTCTTGAAGGTGGGTAACATCCGTGAGAAAGTAGGGCCGTTGGTACGAGCCATGCAAGCTGCGCGGAGAAGTCCCGAACAAAGTCTCGATTTCCTGGTCGAGAAGGGCTAGTACTCGATATTAGCCTTAACACCATGCTGAGTGATGGATTCTTCTATCGGATTCTGAAACCAAAACAACGGGCCTGGCACATCGACTATCGGTTCGTGGATTTGCCAGAGTGGAGACAGTCTTCTAGATGAATCAAGTTTCGGGACGTCTCTTCGTTACCCCCATTGTAGTAAAAATGCCGGACAAATAGTAGAGCACGCTGAAGATGGATCCTACATCCACCCTTCTACTGCTCAACCTCCAGCACAGATGATTATTAATCGAATGAACAATTAGAAAGGTATCTCTTAAGATGCAACTGCCGGCCATTGAAAACTCGGTGTCTGAAGGTATCCACATTCACTTTATCCCTTGAGCAGCTTGAACCACAACACGACCTTAGGAGACGTCCGGCAGTCGCTGCCCAAACGCTTTCCAGCAGACTGAGCACAGATGGACCGGATTTATCAGCAGATTGAACGGAGGATCCTCACAAGCATTGATGATTTGCTCGTCGACTAAACCCAAATATTTCGGATGTCCCTCGGCACCGTTAAAGATGGCCCGAATCGGAGAGTTATCAGTGTGCCGTCATAGCAGGTGGAGCTTTACCTTACGTCAAGAACTAAAGGTCGAGAGCTTGGGTTAAAGTTATTTATCTGCTTCGGGCCTCCCTGATCAGTACATTTCTAGCTAACAGCCTAATTCAATCGCGATATCCCTTCAATTGACCCTCCTGAGAACTCGACGCCTTACATACGGAAAATGGCTCCCTCAACTATGAAGCAGTGGGTTGTTGTGGATAAGGAGAATGGTTTCGATAGTCTTAATTTTAAGGAAGGTCCTGTGCCTAAGTGCGGTGAAAATGAGGTCCTCGTCAAGCTACGCGCTGCGTCGCTCAACTATCGTGACCTGATCATCCCCAAGGTGCGTCACTTCCTCTACGCTCGAGACGGCATGAGCAAATCAGCTTTTTGTCGCGCACATTTCTGATGCCTCTATAGGGGATGTATCCCTTCCCTATCAATTTCCCCGTTGTCCCCGGTTCCGATGGTGCTGGCGAGGTCGTCGAGGTCGGGTCAAAAGTGACCCAGTTCAAGAAGGGCGATAAGGTGGTGACCTTGTTCAATCAGTTCCACCAGTACGGTCCTGTCGATACCCGGAGCACCAAGTCCGGTCTCGGTGGCGTCCTTGATGGTACTCTGCGCCAGTACGGTGTTTTCAACGAAAATGGCCTGGTTAGGGCTCCCAGAAATCTCAACTTCCTTGAGTCGAGTACCCTTACATGCGCTGCCCTCACCAGCTGGAATGCTCTGTATGGCATGAACGCTCTTAAGCCGGGTGAGGTTGTTCTGGTACAAGGAACGGGGGGTGTCAGCACGTTTGCCCTGCAGGTAAGTCTTCAAGCTGATGTCGGCTGCCTACTTGAGTAGAGAACACGCAACAAGCTGACAGTATTCCTGGAACAGTTCGCTAAAGCAGCTGGAGCTACTGTCATTGCTACGACCTCCTCTGATACGAAGGCCAAGAAGCTCAAGGAGCTTGGAGCGGATCATGTCATCAACTACAAGACGAACCCCAACTGGGGCGAAATTGCTCGCTCCCTGACTCCAGACAACGTCGGTGTCGATCACATTATCGAAGTGGGAGGCGCCGGAACCCTCAGTCAGAGTTTGAAGTGCATCAAGTTTGAGGGCACAATCAGCATCATTGGTTTCCTCGGAGGTGTCGATCCCAAGGGTCAGCCTGGCATGCTTGAAGCACTTAACCACATCTGCACCATTCGGGGTGTATACGTCGGAAGCAAGGCTTTGATGAACGATATGATCAAGGCCATTGAGGTGAACAACATCCACCCGGTTGTTGACGAGAAGGTTTTCCGTCTCGACCAGGCCAAGGAAGCTTATGAATACATGGTGAGTCTTCGTTCGCTTGAAGTTATTGAGAATAGGGTGCTAACGGCAAGCAATAGTGGGCTCAAAAGCATCTGGGAAAGCTGGCAATTGAGATTGATTAAACGCGAGCGTATCAGACTATGCGAAGGCTATTAATGAGGATTACGACGACGTTGAATGTACTACCATAGCCATTGCACTATCTATATAGTGATGTAATTAATGCCAATGGACGTATGATGCTATCTCAGCCATCTCCACTTTCCAATCTTTTAGATATCCTTATCTAAATTTCCTTATCTGTTTATCGACACAAGCTGAAGATAATCAACTTTCTTTTACTATCTGCAGTATGGATAGGAAGACCAACCATGAGAAGGTGGAGGGGCGTCGCTCTGCACCACCTTCCCCTCGTCTTGCCCCAACACGCCACCGCCGCACAACAGCTCATCATGCATCATAACGCCATGATCTCCAGCATTCCTTTTTCCTGATTTGCACCCATCGTGGAAAATGGGTCCTCTTCACACTACTCCGTACTACTGCAAAAGCAGTGATGTTTCTCCACTTCTTAGCTCCATACTTGCCTTAATATTCTCGACCCTCCCGGTCTACTCTTGAGATGCAGGTCAGCACAAGGAATACATCGACTCGGCCCATCATCGGACCGGGTCGCCATCAAATGCCATCACAGCTTCACTTCTACCGTCCCGCGCAAATGAGTTTGTTTGCACGTGTGACGTGCTATCCGCCTCTGGGGCAGGTCACTGGTATACCAAGGGTACAGAAGACATTGCAGTCGGAAAAGGATGACACGGTGAGCTATTGCCTTTGGTTTTGTGTGCATCTTAGACTCGCGGAGAGCTATTTCTCCTTGTCCATTTTACTACCACCAATCAAATAAACTAATGGACAATAGCTTCGCTTTACTGTGGTAATTGAGTCAAGCAGCTTATTCCCAGAACAGCCATGGGAGGCCCAGATTTGGCATAATCTCGGTAGCACCGAATGGACCGCACTCCCGCTGAAGAAATGTGAGCCCATTGTAGCTCCTCTGATGAACGGGGACGAGGAGGATTACAAGTACCGTCGCTATGTCTTCTCCGAGGAAATCGCTCTCCCTGCTACCGCGGGCTATGCCCAGTTCACGGTTCGATTTCGAGCCACCCCAGAGGCCGAATGGCAATGGGCCAACCAACAACGTCATATCAATGATGGGGAGCTGGTATTTCCGGCGCGGAATTCTCAGTTCGACACGGGTGTTTCTACTACGGATCCCGCTCGGGCACCGTCGTATAGTCCTTCTGCGATGACATATGGAAGTACCTCAACAACTTCAGAGAAAGAGGGGTTTGACAAGTTCTTTGATAATCTCTCGACTGAGGTCGAGGTCGAGTCGCGTACGAGTGAGGCCCCTGCTTCTCTTTTGTGGAGTCTTTCTGGATCGGTAGAAGCTGCCAAAGAGGGCGAGTCGGGGCTCAAGCGAGTCGCTTTGGGCAAACCATCCTCAATCGCGCGTTATTTTGCCCTAGTACGGGTATGGATTCCATGGCTTGGGCCTAGACATGGGAAGAAGAATTTCAGCTTGACAGAGGATGCCGTATTGTGTTCCTTCCTGCGGACTGACGGTTCCCATTTGGTTCTTCTGGCGGTCTCAGGGATTAGCGATGTCCTGACTGTGCTTGCTTCGAACGAGAAAGGGGAAGTCGTGATTAAGGCCAAGTGTGATCACACTGAAGCAAGCAAGTTCCAGGTTCTTGCTTCTGCCGCCGATGACTTCGAAGTAGCAATGAGCGCTGTCATATACGAAGCTCGGAAAATGGTCAGGCCGTACGCTACGGAGGTATTGTCTGATCGATCACCGACTCCAGTCTCGCCCGTGGACAACGATATTGTGGTGGTAGAAAAGGACCCTCAGGCGCAATGGATGTCGGAGTGGTATGATGGGCTAAGTTACTGTACTTGGAACGGGCTGGGGCAGAACCTGACCGAAGAAAAAATCCTTTTCGCTCTTGACTCCTTGAAGGAGCAGGGAATCAAAATTCAAAATCTGATTATAGATGACAATTGGCAGGCTCTCGACAACGAAGGCGAGTCACAGTTCAAGAGGGCGTGGACACGGTTTGAGGCAGATCCCAAAGCCTTCCCGCAGGGATTTAAACGAGGCATAGAGACCATCCGCCAGAAGCATCGGAATATTCAGCATATCGCAGTCTGGCATGCCCTCTTTGGATACTGGGGTGGAATTTCGCCCAACGGGGATCTTGCCCGAACGTACAAGACCAAAGAGGTGCAGATTACGGATCCGGCCACAGGAGGGCCCGTTGCGAACGCCTTTGAGAAGGGGTCATTGCTGGCCATCGACCCTGAAGATATCCAGCGCTTTTATGATGATTTCTACAGCTTTCTAACATCTGTTGGTGTGGATTCGGTCAAAACAGACGCCCAGTTCTTCCTTGACCTGCTGAAAGACCCCGAGGACCGCAGACGGTTTATGAACGCTTACCAGGACGCATGGTCCATTTCCTCACTAAGTCACTTCAGTACAAGGGCAATCTCGTGCATGTCCATGATCCCGCAAGCCATCTTTCACTCCCAGCTCCCAACGAACAAGCCTCAGATTGCTCTGCGCAACTCAGATGACTTCTTCCCGGAGATCCCGGCATCTCACACATGGCATGTATTTTGCAACGCACACAATGCCCTCTTGACACGGTACCTCAACGTTCTGCCAGACTGGGACATGTTCCAGACGTGCCATCCCTACGCTTCGTTCCATGCAGCTGCACGATGCCTCTCAGGCGGTCCGATATACATCACCGACGAGCCCGGTAACCATGGCCTACCGGTCATCAACCAGATGACCGGGCCCACTATTCATGGATCAACAGTCATCCTCAGACCTAGCATCGTGGGACGCACGCTAGACATGTACCACGATTACAACGAAGGCAACATCCTCCGCATTGGCACGTACACTGGGTGGGCCAAGACAGGCAGCGGCATTCTGGGACTCTTCAACATCCACGCCGCGGGATCATCTTGCATCGTACCCTTGCGCGATTTCCCGGGCATTCATGCAGGCTCAGATGGCCAGTACATCATCCGCGCGCACACAAGCGGCAAAATCACCGAGCTGATGCATCCCTCCGACGACAAGGCCCTCGTATCCGTTGTACTCGAGCAGAAAGAATGGGAGATTCTCACGGCCTACCCCACCAAATCCTTTACCCTCAGAGGGAGTAGAGGCTGCAACGCGGATGGCTCCAGGCTCACCCACGTCGCTATCTTGGGTTTGCTGGGTAAGATGACTGGCGCAGCCGCCGTGGCGAACAGTGATATCATCATGGCGGAGAACGGCCGGCTGCGTTTCGACGTCAGCCTTAAAGGTCTGGGGACTCTGGGTATTTACTTTTCTGACCTGCAGGATTGGAGTATTGCTCGAAACTTCATGGTGACCATCCGTGGCCGGGCTGTGCCAAGAAAGACGGTCTGGAAGGAAGGAGGTGCCCATGCTAAGGTTCTAGCGGTTGATGTTCAGGCGGCGTGGAAGGCAATGGGATTGGATAGTGGATGGAGCAATGAGGTCCTCGTGCAGGTCTTTGTTGGATGATCGTTCGTGTAGTCGTCCGGATAGGTTTCGATCAGCAGGAATGAAATGCTTTGCCCCAGAGTCCAGTCAACTGTAGGTCGACGGGCCCAGCGAAATCCTACTCGACAACGGCCCTCCACCCCCGTCTCGGCACAAAATCTTTCACACCTTCATCCTCCATTACATCCTTCCCCAGCCTCCCCGTGACCACACTCCTTTCAACCTCAGGCCCGCGGACATAGAACGGCTCGAACCCTAGTTCCTGTCCAGTCCGCAGATTCCGTTTGCGCACCCACCTCTTTTTTCCTGACCCAGCTTTAGCTTTATCATGCTCAGGGACAAACCCAGAGTTCACGCGGTCCAGCGTGGCAAACCATCGTCGCTGGTGGATGGAGCCGATCGTGTTTGTGGAACCGGGATAAGCATTGTTCATCCGAATCTGATGGTCTATGGCGCTCTCTGATTCGGAATGGGAGGCCATGGTGTCTGCGTCTGCGTCTGCAGATTGATCCTGAGGTTCCCTGTCTGAAATGTCGGAGTCTGAGGAGGTGCTAGGCTCCGGACGGGTTGTTGATGAACGGATAGTCCGTCTACGTCTCTTGCGAGGAATGCGTGTAGACGGCTTTGCAAAGTCAAAATTCTTGTCTAGCCGGAGGATGATGGTATAGTTCTCCGGAAGACGCGTTCCATGAAGTCGGAGGCGGATTTTATTCTGTTCGTTATCAGTTATCGTCAGGGCTGAGGTAGGGACATGTCACGTACGTTGCGAAAAGCCTCGCGCAGTTTCTCACTCTCAGTCTTCTTATATACAGGGGAATGAAGTGATGAGTCAGAGAGTTCTGACCGGGAATCGTCTGTTTCGACCATTTCCCGCTCGGACTGGGAAGGAAGAATCTCGTATTCCCCTGTGTCCCAGATGATCATGCTACCTGTGTTTGCGGATGCTGTCTCAATTAGGTGGTTCTGTAGGTTCAACGGCTGTCAGATTAATGTAATGGAACATGCCTCACTAAGAACCAACATACCCAAAAACAATGCACCCGCGTCTCAGTCGCATTCCGGTTCAACCGCCGACTGTTGGGATCACCGGGTAATCCGTACATGATCGACCAGCTGACAGAGCTCGTCTCCGAAAACTGCAGTCGCAGGTCATAGTGCGGTCCTGCGATCGGGTGATCGTGTTGATGAATCACAAAGTGTCGGCCGTTTGGATGCAGGTTTCGTTCGTACAGGTCCACCCAGTCTCTGATCGGCAGCCGAGGCACTTGGGGTGATACCGGACGAGCACACCTCGCAAGTCTGGAGGAAAAGATCTTGAGGTGGTCTGTCACCTCTATTGCGCCAGCTTCGATGGCTGCGAGGCTTGGTTCAGAGCTGGGGAGTTTTATATCTGCCTTCGCGGACGATAATGAAGGTGCAGGCTGATCATCCGAAACTTTCTTGTTCCGACTTCTTCTTCTAGGTGGCGATACAGGCGCATCTAGCGTTGATAGTAATGGCTTCCCATCCTCGAGAGCCTGATCGCTAGCCGCACTGGATTGTAGTTGTTTGTGTTCCCCGTTCAGACTGCGCTTCATGATGCTGTCAGATATGCAATGGAGCGGGACTGCTCGTGGGTCTCTGAAAATTCATCGCATGAGCGTTTGCAGGTGGTATTCCACGGGCCACATATTCTTCAAGTGCTCTGTCGAAATCTACGCTTGCCAATAATTATGAGGGGAAAAGAGATGACAACGTCAGGGACAGATGATGATCATCGGTGTTATGTATTGCTTAGTCATACTGTTTAACGTATTCGGTAAGCGAGTCGGCCACGTAAGCGAGTCGGCCACCCCCATCAAGAATCACCACCCCTTTGAAACCAAGGCTATTCAGCCATCCATATCACCACGAAAAATGCCCAAATCATCAAAATCCTTGGTGGAACGAGAGGGGAGGATCTCCTTAGCAGTTAAGGCTATTCAGAATGGCCAAATCAAATCAGTTCGTGAAGCTGCTCGTGTCTTTGAAGTTCCCCGGTCAACACTTCAAGATCGTTTGAATGGAATCAAATTTCGCAAGGAAACCCGCGCCAATTCCCATAAGTTGACTCCTATAGAGGAAGAATCACTTATTAAATGGATTCTCTCATTAGATCAACGTGGTGCACCGCCAAGGCACTTCCAGGTCCGTGAAATGGCTACAATATTGATCCAACAACGTGGTCAAGATACAACTTCCTCAGTGGGAGAGAAATGGGTATATAACTTCATTTCCCGCCATGATTCCTTGAAAAGTCGGTTTAGTCGTCAAATCAATTATAAACGGGCGAAATGCGAGGATCCTGAAGTTCTTCAAGCCTGGTTCAAACGCGTGCAAGCCGCTATATCAACTTATGGTATCGCCAATGAAGATATCTACAATTTTGATGAAACCGGCTTTGCTATGGGCCTGGTGGCTACCACGAAGGTAATCACACGATCATCCTGTGAAGGAAGGCCCTTTCTTATACAACCAGGAAATCAAGAATGGATAACTTCAATTGAGTGTATCAACGCCTCCGGATGGGCATTACCAGCATACTTAGTGTTGAAAGCAAAGACTCATATTCAGGCCTGGTATGAAGGTAATACTCCAGCTTCATGGAGAATTACTATATCATCAAATGGATGGACGACACGAGAAATTGGTGAACACTGGCTCAAAGAACACTTTATTCCTTATATTAAGGACCAAAGAACTGGCCAATATAGCCTCTTAGTTCTTAATGGGCATGACTCTCATTTAACACCTCAATTTGATGATATATGTCGTCAAAATGATATTATTCCTATTTACATGCCTGCAAATTCCTCACATCTCTGTCAACCTTTGGATGTGGCCTGTTTCTCACCATTGAAACGAGCTTACAGTAACCTCATTGAACGGCTTGTACAAACAGGATATCACCATATTAATAAGGTTGACTTTCTTAACGTCTACCCAGAAGCCCACGCCCAAGCCTTCAAGAAGATGAATATACAGAGTGCTTTTAGAGCCTCAGGATTAGTCCCTTTTAATCCTAACCAGGTTCTGGATAGCCTCATCTTTTACAAGGAAGACAGCCGTCCCAGCAGTCAAGGCACTACATCTACGATTACCAAAACACCGATAAATTTGAATCAATTCAAGAAGCATGAGTCGGTGATCTCTCAATTACTTCAAACAAACCCTCCTACCTCACCAATACAGACAGCAATATCTTACATCTGTAAAGGTGCAGAGATAGCCTTGAACCGTGCTATTCTTCTTGAACATGAAAACCTTCAACTTCACCAGGCCATTGAGAGACGAAAGAATAAGCAGAAGCGTAACCAACACCAAATGAATGGTTTGAATGGCTTCACAATCCAGGAAGCACTTGAGGCATTCAACCATGTTCAGGCCTTAGAGGAAGCAGCTGGTGATACAGGGCCTGGAGATGATCAACCACGCCGTCGGGCACCACCTCGGTGCAGTATGTGTGGTGTTTTAGGACATATACGTACAAGATGTCCTAATCGAGTAGCTGCCTGAATTCAGCGCGTTTTAATGGTTAGATTAACGTGGAATAACTTCCTTTTTTGTATGTAAATCAGAATTCTAGGATATGCCTTGACCGGGTGGCCGACTCGCTTACGTGGCCGACTCGCTTACCGATTACGTTATGTCTCCATCAATTATTATATTTCACTTTCCTTCACTCCATGCTGTGACAACATCTGCAAAATACCAGTGCAAGCAAATATATCTACCGTACTCCAAGCTGACTGTGTACTATTCCTCCCTTTTCTACGGGTAGGTGACCAGCCATGGCGGGCAGTGGTTAACCGTTAGACCGTTAGAGCCACATCTCATTGACGCTTAAAGCGTCATCCCATTGGCTTCACTGGTTTGAGATCGCCATACCACCGTCGTCTGAGCTTGTCCCAAACCAGCCAGAGCTTGAGCTCCTCGATGAAGGAGACAGTCCCATGTATTCAAGGACGCTTCCTTGGTGACGAGGCTGGGTCTGAAATGGCTTGACGGCAAGACAGAATAGGTAACCAATACGAAGTTTAGGTCTTTACATGCATCAGTTTTGCGGACTTTCGTTGGAGTTTCGACTATCCTCACAGCCTGAGACTGCTTCGTATAAAACATGCGTGACATGAATGGAGACACTGAGGAGATGACCTGACTTGATCTCTCTTTTAACCGTTACGTCTTGGCTGCTAACTCATTATTATAAAGTTGTCTATATTCTTTTCCTGTGTTTCGAGTTAATGTAATATTAATACAACCCGTCTCACATATGCGCCAGTGTTTGCAGACAATTAGGCTATAGTTGGTCAGCGATTAGTGTTGCGGCTGTCATATGCGCCTCTCCTGCAGGTCTTATGCACCACTATTGATCCATCATGAGAGCTAACAAACACTCTTCCTGAACAGACAACTTGCACCAGACCTACTCTGCTTCTTTGTCTTATCAATCTTTCTCACAGGCACAGGTTTCCCAGCCAGAAGCTCAGTGGAGATGTCGATCATTCCGATGAAGACAAGCCATTCCAATAAAGTCCGGTTCGGGGACCAAACCTTACTGTAAGAGTCCCGACTCCCGGTATACCTTCATGGTAATGAGATGTGCTCGGACTGAGCTTTCTACAAGCTTCTTCTTAGAGAAACTACCCCTCGTATTCTCGGGATCATCGACTATTAAAACCTTAAAATTCTTTGATCCTCGAAGTAGCTAGAAGTCAGAATGCTGCCCCTTGATGATCATTATTCATTAAGCTTCAGTTCGGGGACCTGCGGACGGTGGAGAGCTCTCTCCAACCTTCATCCATGGATTGGAACCTGAATAAGCTGCTCGGGGACCATTGACAATCGTCATTCACGGGGAAGCAGACAATCGCCGAACAAATCTCAAAGGATGTCGGGAAATGACTGTGGCGCATCTACGGCTTTGTGAATTTGCTCTTCTTCGTGGTGAATCCCTTGAGAATCAACCAAACGTCTACGACGGTGAACTCGAGGAATCCTTTGAATTCGTGGTATGGGAGGAATGACCTCATTTCAATCGACATTCTAGAGTGATTGAACTGGCCAGCGGTCGCAATGTTCACGCCCGTCCACACCTCCCTCGGAGCTTTGCTGCTCTTCCAGAGTTCCTCAGGCCTCCTTTTACACAATGGAGCTGTCTTTGGCATTTCGTCCTTGTTGTCCGGATGCGTTTTCAATCCCAGTTATGATAATGTCCCTATAATCGCAGGGTTAGTCTCCAGCGTGGCCCCGATCTATTTGTTCGCGCCGTCCTTGATACCAACATATCCACCTGCGCCGAACTCGTGGGCTTCCGTGGCGTCCACGTTTGGTATAGGGTTCCTACTGGGCTGGGGAACAAAGGTAAATGACCACCACGATGGCTTTGATGAGATTTCTTGCTGACAGGGACATTGAACTAGAATGGCCGCGGCTGCACATCAGGCCATATGCTCTGCGGTCTTTCGCGCCTGTCGCCTCGCTCACTCATCGCAACAGCCATCTTCTTCACCACCGCCCTGCTGACTGCGAATTTCGTCAACGGAGGCCAGAATATTCCGCCCTGCCCGTCCGGAATCCCCTGTTATACCCCGGTGTACCCCTCGATTGAGGAGCTCGCGTTCATGGTCACCACCACCGCTCTGACACTCGTGACGAACTTTGTAATTGTTCCACGAGTGCTGGACCGGTCGAAGAAGTCGAGGACGATCTTTTCGTACCTGGCCGGGCTGCAATTCGGTCTGGGACTGTTCATCTCTGGGATGGCTGATCCGGCAAAAGTCCTCCGCTTTTTCGCCGTGCTTACCGATCCGTCTCGCTGGGATCCTTCGCTTGCGCTCATCATTCTATTCGGGATCGGCCCGTCGCTTGCGACTTACTTATCCGTGAAGCCTGGACAGAAAAAGGGAGAGGAACGGGAGGAAGAGGAGTCTGCGAAACCTACCTTGGCGGATAATTGGAGACTGCCTACATTGACTGTGGCGGATATTGACTGGCGGTTTGTGACTGGTGCCGTGGCGTTTGGTCTTGCCTGGGGCTTACGAGGGGTATGCCCGGGTCCTGCGATACTGCGTACGGTGCTCCAGCCGACATGGGGCCTTGTCGCGATGACGGGGTATATGTTAGGCAATCTTTTCTAAAAGTAAAATAGACTGGTAATATCCCTTCATGCAGGCCAGCTGCGAATTTGACAGATTGAGGTATAGAATATCACTCAAGGCTCCTTAATTTACAGGACGGACTGTTGACATATGTATAACTCGCCGACCTTAAATGCTAGGCAGACCAATTGTACGTCAGCGAAGCTCAATTCAATAGCAATCCACGGATAGTACATTGTGTAACATATATTGTGATACAACAAGGTCATGATGGCCTGGCTTACAATTCAGTCTTCCTCTCCGGATGGGATCGCTTCTCCTTGAGCTGTGCCTCACTCCCCGGCATGAAGCCTTCCAACTCCATCCACTCGGCTGCAAATGCGGTAAAGAGCATGCTCCAGTCTTCCACCGTGTCCAGATCTAGATGTCCACCGTCGTCATCCAACGAATGCCAGACA